ACGGTGACGCCACACGCAGATTCAAATTAGACCTCGCCATCCTTGGGGGGCTGCGATCTGTGAAACTGTCGCCACTTTTGAGGCCTGCTGGGGGGCCCAGCACAGTGACGCCACACGCAGATTCAAATTAGACCTCGCAATCCCTGGGGGGGCTGCGATCTGTGAAACTGTCGCCACTTTCGAGGCCTGCTGGGGGGCCCAGCACAGTGACGCCACACGCAGATTCAAATTAGACCTCGCCATCCCTGGGGGGCTGCGATCTGTGAAACTGTCGCCACTTTCGAGGCCTGCTGGGGGGCCCAGCACAGTGACGCCACACGCAGATTCAAATTAGACCTCGCCATCCCTGGGGGGCTGCGATCTGTGAAACTGTCGCCACTTTCGAGGCCTGCTGGGGGGCCCAGCACAGTGGGTACCTCAAATTAGACCTCGCCATCCCTGGGGGGCTGCGATCTGTGAAACTGTCGCCACTTTCGAGGCCTGCTGGGGGGCCCAGCACAGTGGGTACTCACGGCAGACTCAAATTAGACCTCGCCATCCCTGGGGGGCTGCGATCTGTGAAACTGTCGCCACTTTCGAGGCCTGCTGGGGGGCCCAGCACAGTGGGTACCCACCGCAGATTCAAATTAGACCTCGCCATCCCTGGGGGGCTGCGATCTGTGAAACTGTCGCCACTTTCGAGGCCTGCTGGGGGGCCCAGCACAGTGACGCCACACGCAGATTCAAATTAGACCTCGCCCCTGGGACAGTCGGAGGCCTGCTGGGGGGCCCACAGTGACGCCACATCAAATTAGACCTCGCCATCATCTGTGAAACTGTCGCCACTTTCGTGGGGGGCTGCGATCTGTGAAACTGTCGCCACTTTCGAGGCCTGCTGGGGGGCCCAGCACAGTGACACACGCGGATTCAAATTAGACCTCGCCATCCCTGGGGGGCTGCGATCTGTGAAACTGTCGCCACTTTCGAGGCCTGCTGGGGGGCCCAGCACAGTGACGCCACACGCAGATTCAAATTAGACCTCGCCATCCCTGGGGGGCTGCGATCTGTGAAACTGTCGCCACTTTCGAGGCCTGCTGGGGGGCCCAGCACAGTGACGCCACGGGCGGATTCAAATTAGACCTCGCCATCCCTGGGGGGCTGCGATCTGTGAAACTGTCGCCACTTTCGAGGCCTGCTGGGGGGCCCAGCACAGTGACGCCACACGCAGGATTCAAATTAGACCTCGCCATCCCTGGGGGGCTGCGATCTGTGAAACTGTCGCCACTTTCGAGGCCTGCTGGGGGGCCCAGCACAGTGACGCCACACGCAGATTCAAATTAGACCTCGCCATCCCTTGGGGGCTGCGATCTGCGAAACTGTCGCCACTTTCGAGGGCTGCTGGTGGGTCCTGCGGGGTGAGGCACCGCGCTGACATGAGCGGGACCTCGCCGTCCCTGGGGGGCTGCGATCTGCGAAACTGTCGCCACTTTCGAGGGCTGCTGGTGGGCCCTGCGGGGTGAGGCACCGCGCTGACATGAGCGGGACCTCGCCGTCCCTGGGGGGCTGCGATCTGCGAAACTGTCGCCACTTTCGAGGGCTGCTGGTGGGTCCTGCGGAGCGAGGCACCGCGCGGACCTGAGCGGGACCTCGCCGGCATTGGGGGGCTGCGATGTGCGAAATGTCGTCCGAGGGCTGGGTGGGTCCTGCGGAATGCGATCATCAGCGAAACTATCGCCACTTTCGAGGGCTGCTGGTGGTTCCTGCGAAATGAGGCGCCGCGCGGGCCTGAGCGGGACCTCGCCGTCCTTGGGGGGCTGCGATCTGCGAAACCGTCGCCACTTTCGAGGGCTGCTGGTGGTTCCTGCGGAGTGAGGCACCGCGCGGACCTGAGCGGGACCTCGCCGTCCCTGGGGGGCTGCGATCTGCGAAACGGTCGCCACTTTCGAGGGCTGCTGGTGGGTCCTGCGGGGTGAGGCACCGCGCGGACCTGAGCGGGACCTCGCCGTTTTTTGGGGGGGCTGCGATATGCGAAATGTCGTCATTTTCGAGGGCTGCTGGTGGTTCCTGCGGAATGAGGCACCGCGCTGGCCTGAGCGGGACCTCGCCGTCCCTGGGGGGCTGCGATCTGCGAAATTGTCGCCACTTTCGAGGGGTGCTGGTGGGTCCTGCGGGGTGAGGCACCGCGCTGATCTGAGCGGGACCTCGCCGTCCCTGGGGGGCTGCGATCTGCGAAATTATCGCCACTTTCGAGGGGTGCTGGTGGGCCCAGCGGAGCGAGGCACCAGGCAGATCTGAGCGGGGCATCGCAATCCCTGGGGGGCTGCGAGCCTCACGAATGCCGCTTGCAGAAGTATATGCGCCTATGTCACGTCATCACCTCCGTATAACGTCTCTCAAGCCACTCATGCACCGCACTGCGCAGGGGTTGGGTACGTCGTCAGGGTAATTTACCAAATCAGTGTTACGAAACCCTGTGTTGTTGTATGTTTTTGGGAAACTCGATTACGAAATCCTTCCGGCACCGAAGGTTTTTGAAGGATTTCGGCATGCGCGCGCGACGACGCGCGCGTGTGCACTTCGTCCCATTTTTTGCAAGGGATTCGCGAAAAAGTGTTATGTTAGAAAAAAAATGTCACCGCATAGTGTTTTCACAAGGGAACCTCAAGGGGGGGAACCTGGTTGGCCTGGGACATTGTGATTTCATATTTAGGATGGACATGTGGTCAGAATCATATGTGATTTACATACCCGAAAGGGGGGCGATAACGCCGGGGGGGGGTAGAGTCTATTCTCTTTTAAGAAAGGATAATTTTCTGCCCTCTACACCCGCGACCAAACAGCGACCCACCCGCGACCCACCCGCGACCAATTTGCGACCCACCCGCGACCCACCCGCGACCTACCCGTACTGATTTAACCAAAAAATCGGCGCCTGCGGCGGGCTCTTTGTATAATTTGTGAGACTTTGGCGCCTGCGGCGGGCTTCTCCAGAGTCTCGCAAACTGCCGACGTCCCCACCACACCCTCACTCTTATCCGCATCTGCAGGGTGCTACGTATTTTTCGATGTTCGGTTTTTCGACAACAGCTATGTATTCCCCGCGCCTGCTGCAATGACACCCCGGCGCGCAAATACTTCGGCACCGACTTTTCGAAGTCGAAGGCGCGCTTGTCTGGCTCCTTGCAGACTGCGCCGGGGACCTTCTGGGTGTAGCGCTCTTCCCGTTGCTGCTTCGAAGTGCCAGCCATGAGCACACGTGCAGCAGGAGGCGGGGCGTTGCCCTTGCCACCCGCCAGTCACTGACCTGGAGCAGCAGCCTGCGTCACAACCTGCGGTTGCACAGCCATGGCTTGCAAGGTCTGGAGGATCTGAGTCTGGAACTCATTCTGCTGTCTCTGCATATTGCGTTGCATCTGCGCAAGCCCGTGCAATATGATGTTTTGTACCCTCGGCGCATCTCGGCGATCTTCCCCGAAGGGGCATCCTCGTCCTTCAGTGGTGTGCGGCTCCTCCTTCCATCGCTTCCTCGACCGCCAGTTGGCCTGCTGGCCTACACTGTTCGGGGTTCCGAAGGCCTGGGGCCACCACCAGGCGGATACTGACAAGTTGCCAGATCTGCTTCGAGCTTCATCTGAATGTATTCGACTTGAACTAACTCTACAAGCTGGGCTGTCAGGAATCTCCGTTTTCAGAACGTAGTGAAACTTCTTGGTCCAGAGGGCCAGCCTACAGAGCTAACGCTGCGGATTTTTGCCTGGCGCCTTTCCCTCTGAGCCACCAGGACTACTGACCAGGTAACAGTAATGATGCTGGCGGTGGTGGTGGTGATGATGATGACAATGATGGTGGTGGTGGTGCTGCTGATGAGGATGTTGTGGATGATGAAGCTGATGCTGCTGATGCTGATGATGGTGATGATGATGACGATGATTATTGTGATGATGATGGTGATGACGATTCTGATGATGATGATCATCATGATGATTTTGATATTGATGACGATGGTCATGATGAGGATGATGATGATGAGGATGATGATGATGAGGAGGATGAGGATGAGGATGATGATTAGGACGAGGATGAGGATGCTGCTGCTGATGATCATGTTGAGGATAACGATGATGATGCTGATGATGCTGATGATTATGATGATGCTGCTGATGCTGACGATGAAGATGACGATGACGAGGATGACGATGACGATGACGATTATGATGATGATGATGATGATGGTGGTGGTGGTGATGATGGTGGTGATGATGCTGGTGGTGGTGATGATGATGGTGATGATGATGCTGATGATGATGCTGGTGATGATGATGAGGATGATGATGAGGATGATGAGGATGAGGATGAGGATGCTGATACTGATACTGATACTGATGATGATGATGATGATGATGATGATGATGATGATGATGATGATGATGATGATGATGATGATGATGATGATGATGATGATGATGATGATGATTATGATGCTGATGATCGTTGCGATGGTAGAAGCGGCCTGCCTGCGCTTGCCTGTCCAGGGCACTGAGGATCAACTCCGCGCTCCCTTGCTGGAGGGTGCTGGAGGGTGCGGGAGATGTTGCGCCAGATCTGGCCTCCTTCCCCCCCCTCCCCTGGCCCGGGGGCACACAAGTGGCTCCCAACCCCCATCGCAAAGGGGGGCCCCCGCCTCGAAGACCGCGTGGGCCTGGCCTCTGTAAGGCCAGGCCCGGAGGCCTCCACCTTGACATGCGATTCTGGGGTCGCGCGCCTTTCCCCCTCCTCTCAAACAAAAAACCTCCTGGCCCCTTTCCCCCTGCCTCCCCTCCCCCTCCCTCCTCCGCCCTGCCTCCCTCCCCCCCCCCTCTCCCCCCCTTCCTCCTTCCCTCTCCCTCCCTGCATCTCCTCCCTGCCTCCCCTCCCTCCCCCTCCCCTCCCTCCCCCTGCCTCCCTGCCTCCCTGCCTCCCCCTCGCGGGCCTCGGGCCTCGGCCTGCCCCAAGCCAGGTCCCCCCCTCCCGCGCTGCCCGAGGCCCGAGCCCTCCGGCGCAGCGCACCCTGGCCTCGAGGCACTTCCAGGCGGGCCCGCCGTCGCCGTCGCCGTCGCCGTCGCCGTCGCCGTCGCCGTCGCCGTCGCCGTCGTCGTCGTCGTCGCCGTCGTCGTCGTCGTCGTCGTCGTCGTCGTCGTCGTCGTCGTCGTCGTCGTCGTCGTCCCTCGTCGTCGTCGTCGTCGTCGTCGTCGTCCCTCGTCGTCGTCGTCATGGTCGTCTTCGTCCCTCGTCGTCATCGTCGTCGTCGCGGTCGTTCATGTCGTCGTCGTCCCTCGTCGTCGTCGCCATCGACGTCGTTTTCGTCGTGTTCTTTGTTCCTGTCGTCTTCGTCGTTCACGTCGTTCTCGTCGTTCCTGTCGTTGTCGCCGTCGTCGTCGTCGTTCCTCGTCGTCGTCCCTCATCGTCGTCTCGCACTTCCAGGCAGGCCCGCCGTCGCCGACGCCGTCGTCTTCGTCGTCGTCGTCGTCGTCATCGCCCCTCGTCGTCGTCGTCGTCGTCGACGTCGTCATCGCCGTCGTCGTTGTCCATTGCCGTCGTCGTCGTCGTCGTCGTCGTCGTCCATTGTCGTCGTCGTCGTCTTCGTCACTCGTCGTTGTCGTCCCTCGTCGTCGTCGTTCTGTTGTCGTCACCGTTGCCGTCGCCGTCGTCGTCGTTGTCGTCGTCGTCGTTCTCGTCGTGCTCGTCGTTCGTCGTCGTCGTTCACGTCGATCTCGTTGTTCCTGTCGTCGTCGCCGTTGTCGTTGTCGTCGTGGTTGTCGTCCCTCGTCGTCCTCCATCGTCGTCGTCTCGAGGCACTTCCGGCCAGGTCCGTCGTCGCCGTCGCCGTACCGTCGTCGTCGTCGTCGTCGTCGTCGTCGTCGTTTATGTCGTTCATGTCGTTCTCTTCGCTCTCGTCGTTCTCGTCTTTCATGCCGTCTTCGTCTTCGTCTTCGTCGTCGTCTCTGCGTTCCTCGTCGTCGTCGTCCATGTTTGCTGTCGTCGTCGTCGTGTTCGTCTCTGGTCGTGGTCGTCGTCCTTCGTCGTCGCCGTGGATCTTGTCGTCCTTGTCGTTCATGTTTCGTCGTAGTCGTCGTGGTTGTCGTCGTCTTCCCTCTTCGTCGTCGCCGTCGTTGTCGTCGTCGTCGTTCTCGTTGTTCTCGTCGCTCCCTTCGTCGTCGTCGTCGTTCCCGTCATTCTTGTCGTTCCGTCATTGTCGTCGTCGTCTTCGTCGTTCTCGTTGCTCTCGTCGTTCTCGTCGTTCTCGTCGCTCTCGTCGTCGTCGTCGTTCATGTCGTCTTCGTCGTCGTCGTTGTCGTTCATGTCGTCGTCATCGTCGTCCATCGTCGTCGTCGTCGTCTTCGTCCGCGGTCGCCTTTGTCGTCCCTCCTCGTCGTCGTCGATCTTGTCGTTCTCGTCGTTCATGTTTCGTCGTAGTCGTCGTCGTCATCCCTCGTCGTCGTCGCCGTCGAAGTCGTCGTTTTCGTCGTTCTCGTCGTCGTAGTCGTTGTCGTTCCCGTCGTTCTCGTCGTTCCGTCGTTGTCGCCGTCGCCGTCGTCGTTCTCGTCGTCTTCGGTGTCGTTCTCGTCGCCCGCGTCGTTCTCGTCGTTCATGTCTTCGTCGTCGTTCTCGTCGCCCTTGTCGTTCTCGTCGTTGAGGTCGTCGTCGTCGTCGTCGTCCCTCCTTGTCGTCTAGGCAGGCCCGTCGTCGCCGTCGCCGTCGTCGTCGCGGTCGCCGTCGTCGTCATCGTCATCGCCCCTCGTCGTTCTTGTCGTCGTCGTCGTCGTCGTTTATATCGTTCATGTCGTCGTCGTGGTCGTCGTCGCTGTCGTCGTCGTCCCTCGTTGTCGTCATCGTCGTCGTCGTCGTTTTCCGTCCTCGTCGTCGTCGTCGTTCTCGTGGGTCGTTCTCGTCGTTCATGTCGTTCATGTCGTCGCCGTCGTCGTCGACGTCGCCGTCGTCGTCGTCGTGCTCGTCAACCCTCGTCGCTTCCGTCGTCGTCGTCGTCGTTTCCGTCGTTCTCGTCGGTCCTGTCGCCGCCGTCATCGCTTCGAGGCGCTTCCCGGCAGGCCCTTCTTCCTCGCCGTCGCCGTCGGCGTCGCCGTTGTCGTCGTTGTCGTCGTGGTCGTCGTCCATCGTCGTCGTCGTCGTCGTCTTCTCTTGGTGTCTTCTTGTCGTCGTCATTCGTCGTCGTCGTCGTTGTCGTCGTCCATCGACGTCGTCGTCGTCGCCGTTGTCGTCGTTGTCGTCGTCATCGTCGTCGTCCTTCGTCGTCGTCGTCTTCTCTTGGTGTCTTCGTTGTCGTCGTCATTCGTCGTCGTCGTCGTTCTCGTCGTTCATGTCGTCGTCGTCGTCGTCGTCCTCCCTCGTCGTTGTCGTCGTCCATCGACGTCGTCGTAGTCGCTTTGTCCCTTGTCGTCGTCGTCGTTCTCGTCGCCTGCGTCGTTCATGTCGTTGTCGTTCTTCTTCGTCGTCGTCGTTCTCGTCGTTCTCGCCGTTGCTGTCCCCGTCGTCGTCCTCGTCGTTCTCGTCGTTCATGTCGTCGTCGACGTCGTCGTCGTCGTTCTCGTCGTCGTCGTTCTCGTCGTTCATGTCGTCGTCGTCGTCTTTCGTCGTCGCCGTCGTGAATCGACGTCGTCATCGTCGCTGTCGTCGTCAATCTCGTCGTTCTCGTCCTTCATGTTCTCGTCTCAGTCGTTGTCGTCGTTCCTGTCTTCGTCGTCCATCGTCGTCGTCGTCGTCCATCGTCGTCGTCGTCGTCTTCGTCGCTCGTCGTCGTCGTCGTCGTTGTCGTCGTTCTCGTCGTTCTTGTAGTTTATGGCGTCATCGTCGTCTTTCTCGATTCGCTCGTCCTTCTCGTCGTTCGTCTCTCCGTCGTCGTCGACGTCGTCCCTCGTCGTCCTCGTTGGTGTCGTCCCTCGTCGTCATCGTCACCTTCGTCCCTCGTCGTCGTCGGCGTTCTCGTCGGCCCTCGTCGTTTTCGCCGTTCATGTCGTCATCGTCGTCGTCGTCGTCCTCCCTCGTCGTCGTCGTCGTTCTCGTCGTTCTGGCCGTCGTCGTAGTCGTTCTCGTCGCTCTCGTCGTCGCCGTCGTCGTCGTCCTCCTCCCTCGTCATCGTCGTCGTCGTCGCGTCGTCGTCGTCATCCATCGTCGTCCATCGTCGTTCTCGTCATTTCCGTCGTCGTCGTCGTCGTTTTTGTCGTTCTCGTCGTTCTCGTCGTTCATGTCGTTCTCGTCGTTGTCGTCGTCGCCGTCCCTCGTCGTCATCGTCGTCCGTCGCCGTCGTTGTCGTCGTTTTCGTTCCTCGGCCTCGTAGTCGTCTTTGTTTTCGTCGTTCATGTCGTCGTCGTGATTCTCGTCTTCGTCGCCGCTCCTGTCGTCGTCGTCGTCGTTCTCGTTTGTCTCGTCGTTCTGTCGTCGTCATCGACGTCGTCATCGTCCCTCGTCGTCGTCGTCGTTTTCGTCGTCCCTGGTCGTTCTCGTCATTTATGTTGTCGTCGTCGTCGTCCTCGCCGTCGTCGTCGTCGTCGTCGTCCCACGTCGTCCTCGTCGTCGTTGTCGTCGTCTTCGTCCCTTGTCGTCGTCGTCATCCTCGTCGTTCTCGTCGCTTATGACGTCGTCGTCGTCCCTCGTCGTCGTTTTCATCGGCGCCGTCTTCGCAGTCGTCGTCGTCCTCGTCGTTCTGATCGTTTCTGTCGTCGTTCTCGTCGTTCCTGTCGTCGTCGTCATCCATCGTCGTCGTCGTCGTCGTCGTCGCTCTCGTCGTCGTCGTCTTCGTCGTCGTTCCTTGTCGTCGCCGTCGTCGTCGTCGTCGTCGTCGTCGTCGTCGTCCCTCGTCGTCGTCGTCGTCGTTCCTTTCGTTTTCGTCCTCGTTCTCGTTGTTCATGTCGTCGTCGTCGCTCTCGTCGTCGTCGTCGTCGTTCCTTGTCGTCGCCGTCGTCGTCGACGTTGTCGTTGTCGTCGTCGTTGTCGTCGTCCCTCGTCGTCATCGTCGTCGTTCCTTCGTTTTCGTCGTCGTCCTCGTCGTCGTCGTCGTCGTCGACGTCGTCCCTCGCCGCCGCCGTCGTCGTCGTCGTCGTCGTCGACGTCGTCGTCGCCGTCGTCGTCGTCCCTAGTCGTCGTCGTCGTCGACGTTGTCGTTGTCGTCGTCGTCGTCGTATTCGTCATTCCTGTCGTCGTCGTCGTTCTCGTTGTTCTCGTCGTTCCTGTCGTCGTCGTCGTCGTCGTCGTCCTTCCTCGTCGGCGTCATCGTCGTCGTCGTCGCACCTCGTCGTCGTCGTCGTTGTTCTTGTCGTTCTCGTAGTTCCTGTCGTCGCCGCCGTCGTCGTCCTTTTCGACGTCATCGTCGTTCTCGTCGTTCCTGTCGTCGTCGCCTCGTCGTTGTCATTCTTGTTGGTCTCGTCGTTCCTGTCGTCGTCGTCCTCCCTCGTCGTCGTCGTCGGCGTCCCTCGTTGTCGCCGTCGTCGTCGTCGTCGTCGTCGTCGCCGTCTTCCCTCGCCGTCGCCTTCGTCGTCTTCGTCGTCCCTCGTCATCGCCGTCGTCGTCGTCGTCGTCCCTCGTCCTTGCCGTCGTCGTCGTCGTCGTCTCCCCGCCGCGGGTGTTGTGGCCTGCGCGCTCCGAACGCGGCCTGGTCCTTGTCTGGCTGCAGTGAGCTGCGCTTGCGTGACACGTTGTTGCACGTGTATCCGTGTGCGGTAGGGCTGCGTCTTGTCGACCAGCGGCGACCCCGCTGCCAGCGTTCAACGTTGAACGTCTCTGTCGACCCAGAATCGGTCGATGTGGAACGATCTGACGTTTCGGAAACGGCCGGTCGTTCAAGATTGAACAATCCCCGCGGTGTCAGGTTCAGATGCCGAAGCCGGCACGACACGGCCGCTGTAGCCAGGTTGGGCGGGATTCGGCACGAAGGAGAGTCGGATGCGCGCCGAGGGGGGCAAGCGAGGGAGGCAGGCCCTCTCAGGAGGCGGCGAGGCTTCTCCAGAAGCCTTACGTCGCGCCCGTTAGAGTCCGCGCGCCCGATCGGCCCCCCGCCCGTCTCGCTTGCTTGAACGCTCGCCCGCTTTAATGTCCCGCCCCGCCCGACTGGCCCGTTTAGGTCCGATCGCGCGACCCACCTGCTAGGGTCGCTCACCCGACCCGTCCGTCAGGGCGCTTCCGCCCGAACCGCCGTGGTAGGGTTCGCCAGCTCGCTTGCTTACACGCCCGTCCGCTCGCGAAGGCGACCGCCCGCGAAGACGACCCCTGGTGAAGACGCCTGCCGTTGAAGACGACCTCGGCAGCGACGGCCGCCGGCGAAGACGACCGCAGGCGAAGGCGGCCCATGGCGAAGACGACGGGGCGATGACGACCCCAGCGAAGTCGACCAGGGTGAAGACGATCGAGCGAAGACGATCGCCAGCGGAGACGGCTCGTGCCAACGAGGGGGGGGAGGCGGAGCAAGGATCGAGGACGAGAGAGGAGACCCCGGTTAAGACGGCGCTGCCAGAGTGTTCTGGCCTCTCGAGCCGTCGATGGTGGGTCGCCGCTATACGGCGTTCGGGGGGACAGGCCCGGGGGGGACGCATCGGCCCCCCTCGGGCCTGTCCCCCCTCTTCGGCAAACCTTCTGCCCGCTGCCCTCCCTGCGCCGCCGCGGCCAGGGGCGCCTCCAGGCCAAGCGCGGCAAGGGCGCCAGCCAGCGGGAACCGGCGGCCGCGCCCGCCGAGCAGGAACGCGGCCGCCTGGTGGAGGGGATGGGTCCTTGTCCGTCCTCCGTCCTCTTCCGTTTTCCTCCTCCTCCTCCTCCTCCTTCTCCCTCCGTCCTCCGTCCTCCGTCCTCCGTCCTCCTCCCTCCTCCGTCCTCCTCCGTCCTCCTCCGTCCTCTTCCTCCGTCCTCCTCCGCCCTCCTCCTCCTCCTCCTCCTCCTCCTCCTCCTCCTCCTCCTCCTCCGTCCTCCTCCGTCCTCCTCCGTCCTCCTCCGTCCTCCTCAGCCACGCAGTTTCAGCGCCTGCGCCCGCCGTGGCCGCGCCGCGGCCCCCGCCGGCACTGCCACCGTCGGGCCAGTGTGGGGCGGCAGGCCCGCCCAGCTGCCGCGCAGGCCAGCGGAGAGATGCTGCGAGTGCTGGCGCTCGCGCGGGTGCGTTTCGCGGTCCTCTTGCCACGAGCAGGGAGGATGGACAGGACAGCTCGAGGTAGCCGAGGAGTTCAAGAATCTTGCCAACCAATCGGGACCGAACCCGCCGCGCCCTTGGAGGGCGTCGAGGGCCGTGGCCCGCGGCGGGCCGTGCACGGGCGCGCGTTGAGTTCCCTGTTGGGCACTGGCAGAAGCGAGATGAACCAGCGCATGCCGATGTGTCCGCACGCGCCGTCGATGCTAGTAGCGCGCGCAAGCTTGGCAGCTCTCGCTGCTGGCGTTGCTAGACAGGGAATTGCGTGTCCGCGCTCGCCCTCCAGAGCCAGGCTCCGTTCCGAACCAACACCACTGCCCAGAAACATTTAGATCGAGGTGCCTTTCGAGGCCTCGCGATGGCTCGTCGCGGACCGGAGGCTCTTTCTAGCATTGTAGCGAGGGGCGGTGCCAGCGTCGTGCGCGCGCGTTGGCAGGTGATCCCGCTATCTGATTGGCGCGGCTTGTATGTTTGTGATTCCTCTCGCTTCGCGGGGTGCACGTCCGGAGCACGTACAGTCACGTCGCGGGGCCTTCTGGGAGCCTCTTGGGGGCCTCCTGGAGGCCTCTTGGGAGCTTCTTCGGGCCTCTTGGGGACTTATGCTGGCCTCTTCCCCCCCTTTTTTGACTCCCTCCCCATCTTCCCTTCCAGCGCTGGCTCTAATCATGGGCGCCGCCGTGACCAACTTCCACCTGGCTGGCGCTGCGCCGCAGTTCGTCCAGGGGGGGAAATAATATTACACTCCAGTCGCTATGTGGCCTTTGGGGGGCTTCTTTGGGGCCTTTTGGAGGCTTCTTGGGGACTTTTCGGAGGTCTCTGGGGGGCTTTTTGGGGCCATTTGGGGGCCTCTTGGTGGCCTCTTGGGGCCTCTTGGGGGCGTCTTGGGCCGTCTTGGGGCGCTTTCGCGCCGTTTCGCCCCTTCGGAGGCCGTCTTGGGGGCCTCTCGCGGCCGCCTTGGGGCCCTCTTGGGGTCCTCTTGGGCCGTCTCAGGGGTTTCTTGGACCGTCTTGGGGGCCTCTTTGGGCCGTCTTGTGGCCCTCTGGGGCCGTCTTGGGGCCCCCTTGGGTGTTTCTTGGGCCTTCTTGGGGCCATCTTGGAGGCTGCTCGGGCCGTCATGGGCTTCGGAGAAGCGAAAAAGGCGAGAAAGCTAAAATCTTTCAAAAACGTAAGGGAACTCAATGTTTTTGGCCTCTGGAGGCGCTCTTGTGGGCGCTCTTGGAGCCCTCTTGGGCCGTCTTGGGTTCTTTTTGGGCCCTCTTGGGGCCATCTCGGGCCGTCTTAGGGCCGTCTTGGGCCGTCTTGGGGCCATCTGGAGCCGTCTTGGGGCCCGTTGAGACCCCCAAAAGGGCCAATGTGCCGAAATCATTGATTTCCCATACGTTTTGGTACGTTTTGGGGCCCCAAAAGGGGTGCCGCCAGTCTGGTACGGCGCTGTGGCGCGACTCCAGGGGGGGTTAGGGGGGGGAGACATAATAATGTAACACAATACAATATGTAGCAATTATGCAATCGTGCGCGCGCGTTGGCAGGTGATCCCGCTATCTGATTGGCGCGGCTTGTATGTTTGTGATTCATGGGCTTACGCCACACCGCCGACCCCTTGGGACTTCTGGTGAGGCCTTGTGGGGGGGGGTCCTTGCAGCATGAATAATCTGTCTCTCGCCATCTCGCGCGTGGTTTTACTTGTGCACTGGCCCCCCATGTCGCCGCGCCAAATTGCCGCCGGTTGCTGCGGCCTCGCACCAGGCCCACCTGCAGCAAGTGGCGAACCAACCGTCGCGCGAATCTTCATGTGGTACGTGTGGATGTACTAATGATCTTATATATGCATATACATATATGTATATACACAGGAGCACATACAATCTTATATTGTACACACACACGCGTACATAACATGGGCAGGCATGCGTGCACAGAGGTGGCACTGCGCGGTGCCATTCGACAGCGTGTTTTTGGGCTCAAGAATTGGCTCGTGGTGTGCTCATTCGGCGCTATAGATAGGACGACAGCCTCGGTGCGTACGGAGGCCGTCCGCGACAGCGGGTACTGAGGGGCAGAGGTAGCAGTGATCCTCGGGCAGCATGGTCCGCCAGCAGCGAGCAGCAACGCGTTCTGTGGCCAGTCACGAGCAGATTTGAATTAGTTGTTGCATGTGCCTTGCATGTACACATGTAATCCAGATGATACAGGGGCGCCCCCCTGCAACGCAAGTATATAGATATATACACATATACATATGTATGTATGTATGTATACATATATATATATACATATCTATGCCTGTAGATACGCATGTATATATAGATGTATATATACGTAGGGGCTCCCCCTCATATACTGGCTTGTGGGTATCTTGTCCTAAGATACTGTCCAACGTCTTTGAAGCGCAGGCACAGATCGGACGTCGCCGACGCATTGCGGCGAGGCTCACACGTGTGCGGAATCAAGCGTCGGCGAGTTGAGCTGCTGCGACGCAAGTATGTGGAAAGGAGGAGGCATGAGGTGGTCAGAAAAGGAGGAGGGACTAGTGATGCAGATGCTCTCTCTTCTTAGCCGCAACATTGTAGGAGGATTCCGACAAAAACCATGCGAGGTTGATCTCGCAGCGCGCGAGCGTCCCACCGCGCAGGGCGGAGGTTTTGAAGCCAGTAAAAACACCACGCGTTTTTTTTTCCTCCGGCCCAACGGAAGTGCCTCTTGGAGGGTGTCATCCTCGGAGGCGCGTTGGAGGCTTTGGACAGATCGAGACCAAATCAATTTTTGCGTGTCCGGACCCTCGTGGAACGCATCTCGGAGGCCCTCGGGGGGGCTCGTGGGGACCTCTTCTGCCGTCGAGGACGCCTCGTGGCCCGTCTTTGGGCCACCTTGGGCGTCTTGGAGCGCTCGTTGGGCGTCCCAAGCCCATTTCGACGCCATGTGGAGCTTTGTGGAGGCCATTCGGAGCGCTCCTGGAGCGCTCTTGGGGCCGTTTTCGGAACCGTCTTGGGCCGTCTTGGACGCCTGTTGGCCCGTCTTGAGGGCCTCTGGGGGTATGTGGGGGACCCTCTGCGAGGCTTCTGGGGCCGTCCGGGAGCGGGTTTGGGGGCCTCTGGGGCCGTCGGGGAGCATCGGACAGGCCAAAGCCGAATTTGTCAAAAATGTACGCTTCACGAAGGGAATGGGCCAATTTTTGCGTGTCCGGACCCTCGTGGAACGCGTCTCGGAGGCCCTCGGGAGGGCTCGTGGGACCTCTTCTGCCGTCGAGGACGCCTCGTGGCCCGTCTTTGGGCCACCTTGGGCGTCTTGGAGCGTTCGTTGGGCGTCTCAAACCCATTTCGAGGCCATGTGGAGCTTTGTGGAGGCCACTCGGAGCGCTCCTGGAGCGCTCTGCGGCCGTTTTCGGAGCCGTCTTGGGCCGTCTTGGACGCCTGTTGGCCCGTCCTGGGGCCCTCTAGAGGTATGTGGGGGACCCTCTGCGAGGCTTCTGGGGCCGTCTGGGAGCGGGTTTGGGGGCCTCTGGGGCCGTCGGGGAGCATCGGACAGGCCAAAGCCGAATTTGTCAAAAATGTACGTTTCACGAAGGGAATGGGCCAATTTTTGCGTGTCCGGACCCTCGCGGAACGCATCTCAGAGCCCTCGGGAGGGCTCGTGGGACCTCTTCTGCCGTCCAGGACGCCTCGTGGCCCGTCTTTGCGCACCTTGGGCGTCTTGGAGCGCTCGTTGGGCGTCCCAAGCCCATTTCGAGGCCACCAGAGGACTCCCTACACGATTTTTACGAGGTTTCGCACGATTTTCGGGAGCGGATGGCACCTCTGGCCCCGCCCGGGGAATCCGGGCGCACCCCCCCCCCCTCCAAATCGACCGGACCAGGCCCCCGGGGGAGGGGGAGGGGTTTGGGGAGGGGGAACATCTCACACGCCGATGAACCCCAAGGGGTCGGCGGATTTTCGTTTCGTGCGTGTGCTGTGCCCGGCGTGGCCACTGCGCCTCGTGCGCTTGGCGTGCCAGCGGTTTGCCCGGCGTGCACGCGGCGCGCGCGCGCTGGTCGCGGGTGGCCCTCGATCTGTTTCGTTTTTGTTCCCAGCCCTCCTGCGCGTCAGGCCCTCGCTTTGAATTCGCGGCGCTTCGTTTCTCATCCCTTCTGCTTTTCTCTCCTGTCCTCTTCTTCTTCTTCTCCTCCTCCTCCTCCTCCTGCTCTTTTCTCCCTCCGCTTCGTTTCCTCATGATCCATCCCCTTTTCTCTTGCGTGGTGTGCCCGTTTTGTGGCCGCGCCTAGACAATTTCAGCGCGCCCTTCGCGCCGCGCGCTGTTCGTTGTCCCCAAGCCCCCAAGCGATTTGTTTTTGAAAGCCCCTGTGGTGCAAACCGCATGCCGGTTCCGCGACCAGTCCAGCGCGCCCATCGCGCGGTTCGCGGCCCCATGCGCAACCCTGCCGACGCGATGTGGTCGCGCGCCGCCTCCACGACCATATCAGATCAACGTTCACAAGGTTCGTGGCCCCATGAGGAGTTCAACCGAATCCCGCAGAGCACAGGCCGCACGCCGCCGCCCAGATTATTTGAGGCCGCCCATCTCGCGGTTCGCAGCTCCATATT